GGTCGAGTCGTGCGGTTCGAATTAAAGCCATCGGGCATGTCCATGTGTGCAGGGGTGGTTACTTTTGTTATTTCCCCACTCGTTTGGGTTGAAAGATAGTGCACTCAGACTCTCACCAACCCGAGTGACGAGTGTGTGAGCTGTGAGGGTGTGCGCGTCGTGTGACTGTGTCTGTGAGCAGTGCGTGGGTGTGCACACACCGAAAACGGCTTGCGTTAACAGACAGTCCGCTGCCCCCCCCTTTTTTAAGAGGTGCGCGCGCACCGGCGCGCGCGGCCTCTACTCGTCCTCGTCGTCCGAGGCGGCGCGGTCCGCGCGGAAGCGCGGGTTGGCCGGCTGCTCGCCGCCGCTCGCGTCTGTGCGGCTCCGCTTGGCAGTCGGCTCGTCGCGCGGCGGCCGAATGTCGCGCCCAAACGCGTCGCGCCCAAAGCTGTCGCGCCCAAAGCTGTCGCGCCCACCGCCGCCGCCGCTCCTCCGCTCGTCGCGACCCTCGGGGTACGAGCGCCGACGCGCCGACGGCGGCCCGGCGCGCGGGGCGAGGCTCTCCTGCGCGTCCGCCTTGCCCCAGCCTCCGCGGCCCGCGTCAAAATCGGCGCGGTACTCGTCGCGCACCTGCCCGCCCGACCTGCCGCGGCCGTACTGCCTCCCCTCCACGAAGCCGCCGTCCCAGTCGACGCGGACCACCCGCTCGTCGAGCTTCATGCCGTTGAGGAAGCGGACGGCGTCCTCCGTGTCCTGGCGGCGGTAGTACTCGACAAAGCAGAAGCCGCACGGCGTCTTCGAGAAGCGATCCAGCCCCATCACCACCCGCCGCACCTCGCCCGTCTTCCCAAAGAACTCGTACAGCTGCTCCTCCGTCGTGTAGAAGGAGAGGTTGCCGATGTACAGCGTCGCAGACTGCTCAATCGCCTCCTGCCAGCGGCCGCGGCCGCCCTCGAACTTGCGGTCCGTGTACAGCGACTTGACGCCCAGGTCGCGGTAGAGGTGCGCCATATCGCGCAGGACGATGGCGAGCGATGGCCGTGAGCAACGCAGTGAGCAACGCAAGCAATCGCGCGGGTTTTCTTTCCGGAAAACTGCAACACACTTTCTTCATTAGCTCAAGCACTCGCGGGCCCCCGTCTCGGTGCGGCCGTGCGTCAGCAGTTCGCGGTTGAGCGTCATGGCCGCGGCGAACGCCAACTTCCTCGGTCCGCGAACCCCGCCGAGCCCTCCCTCACACACGCGGAAGCCGCCGCGCGGGTCTGGCAAGTACGGCCAGACGCACAGCGCTGCGTCCGGCCGATGCAGTTGCGCGCTTGTGGAACGGCAGTTGCGGGGAGAGGCGTGAGATGGGCTGGGCGAAGAGGCAGGGGGCGGCGAGGAAGGGGGGAGAGGGGTTGGGTAGGGAGCGGTTGCGGGGAGTCGGGGGGGGGGCGGGGGGTTCAGGTGGGAGGGCGGTGTGCGCGCAGCGGCCGGCGAGAACGGTGGCGGTGGAGGGGGCGGCGGCGAGAAGGGTGGGGTGGAGAGAGCCCGGCGATTGGCGGCGTTCGCAGCGCGCCGCCGCGCGGCTGCGGAGAGACTCCAGCTGCTTGTAGAGCGCCCACCCATGCGCGCTGCGTGGGCTGCATCGATGCCCGCCGGGTGACTGGCCAGCGGCCACAGCGACAAGACACGCGCGATGGAGCACCCAGACGCAACAACTGCTGAACCCCCCCCCCCCCCTCCCCGCCCGCCCCGCGCAGAGATCAGCAAGGCGTTCTGCCAGCACTACTACAACGTCTTTGACACGGACCGCGCTAAGCTGCAGACGCTGTACCAGGAAAGCAGACGTAGGGGAGTCGAGCTCAGACGAGATTGAGTCGAGCTCAGACGAGATTGAGTCGAGCTCAGACGAGATTGTTCGTGGGGCGCCCCACATCCGACCATGGGGTATGCTGCCTGTGTCTCCCCCCCCGCCCTGCACGATCTTTGTGTGGGGGATCTTCACACCCCCCCCCCCCTCTCCCTTCACCCCTCGTCACAGCCCACCGCTGCCCCACTAGCGTCTGTGCCCCAGTTGTGCGGCGTCCCGTGGCCCCCCGAGCTCATTTGAACGAGCCCGCGGCTGTCCCCAGGACGGCTCGATGCTAACCTTTGAGGACGCTCAGTTCATGGGCATGCAGGCTCCCCCGTCGTGACGAAGCTCACCACGCTGCAGTTCTCGGACCGTCCTCAGACCCTTCCCTCGGACTCGCTCTCTAGGCCATCATGACGAAGCTCACCACGCTGCAGTTCTCGGACCGTCCTCGGACCCTTCCCTCGGACTCGCTCTCTAGGCCATCATGACGAAGCTCACCACGCTGCAGTTCGCGACGGTGCAGCATCAGGCGCGTCGCAGCACCGCGCCGCTAGCACCGAGGAGGAGGCGACACACCGCAACGATACCCACGCGGGAGGCGCGACAGAGCGTGCGAGGGTGAGAGGCGGGGGGGGGGGGGGGGGGACCAAGCCGTGGGAGGGGAGGGGCCCAAGAAAACCCTCGTGCTCATATCGCCACACGCCCCCGATGCGCCCCCGAACACGCGAAACGTCCGCCTCGGGGGAGCATATACTGCGCGAGATGCCATCTCGGGTCATCTCGGGCCATCTCGGGTGATCTCGGGTGATCTCGGGCCATCTCGGAGGATCTCGGGTGATCTCGGCGGATCTAGGGTGATCTCGGCGGATCTCGGGGCCTCAGGTGACAACGTGCGACGCGCAGCCGACGCCGGGTGGCGGGATCCTGTGCTTCATCACGGGCAAACTGGCGCGAGATCTGGCCGAGATCTGGCCGAGATCTAGCCGAGTCCTCTGCCTCATTACGGGCGAGCTGGTCCGACGCCACCCTCCTTTCCCTCGCCGCCCCACCCTCCTTGCCCTCGCCGCCACCCCTCCTTTCCCTCGCCCTCGCCGCCGCACCCCCCCCCCCCCCCTCTGGCTCGCCCTCGCCTCAACCTGCCTCCACCATCCGCCTCGACCGGGCGGGCGCGGGTGCGGGGCAGCGTTTGCGCGCCGCCTCCCCGGCGGCCGGCCACAGCAGCGGTATGCAGGAGTCGCTGACTGCCACTGTGTCGATCGCAGGTGGTGGACGGCGGCGCGAACCCGCTGATGTTTGGGCAGACGTTCCACCTGATGCCGACGCCGCAGGGCTCGTGGTACATCCACAACGACCTGTTCCGACTCAACTACACGTAGCCGTGCCCGGCGCCACGGCGCCACGGCGGCGAGGAGGAGAGGGGGCGTTGAGGGCCGCGTCGGGCGGCGTGCGCTGCGGCGTCGGGCGGCAGAGCTCGGCGGGCGGCGCACGAGAGAGGAGAGGAGAGGCCAGGCCTAGGTAGTGACCAGAGCGCGCGAGACCCGCGGATCTTTGTTTATTCGTTTTTGTACGTGTAGTTTGCAAAGACCCGACCGCATTTGCAGGACGATCATCACCGATCAATACGAAAAAAATTGAGCGGCGTTGGGGAGCAGAGGAGAGAGGTCGTTTGCTCCAAGGACCAAGCTGCATGAAACAAGCTTTCCAAAGTGCGCCAAACGCGCGACTAGAGTAGAGTATCAAAGCCTGCACCCTAGATCAATCAAACGGCCTCATCCCCCGCTGGTGCCGCGCCCGCCGGTGCCGCACTTGCCGATGCTCCACCGCTCTCATCGTCCACGGTCGGTTCCTGCTGCCGTGCGCTCTCCCATTCCGCCTGCCTTGCGTCTTCGCCATCGTCCATGTACGGCGAGTTGAAGTCCTCGCCAGGCACGAGGCCGGGACCGGCGAGCAGCGAGTCCGCGAGGGTGCGCAGTCCGCCGTTGATGATGGCTTCGTGCGCGACATCGATGCGGCGGAAGCCAAAGGGGTCGTGCAGCGTCTTGTGCATATCGAGCAGCCCTTGCCAGCAGACGTGCACCAGCACCATGAGCACCGAGATGATAGGCAGCCACGCGCCTTGAGGGCTGCCGTCCTCACTGTGACGGTCGTCGATGGCAAAGTAGGCCATGATGATCTCTGCGAAGGCGCACCAGACATTGAGCCGCGCGAGGAGGGTGACGATGTGCGCGTACGGGTAGGGCAGGTCGCGGTCGAGCGAGCTCATCAGGTCGTTGGCCTGGCCGCGAATGCCCGTGATGGCGTTGCCGATGAGGAGCATGCACGGCTGCGGCAGCATATCCTCCATGTGCAGCTTCTGGCACTTGCCCTGGATCCAGTACCAGACCGTCGTGTGGCGATCCCCATTCACCATGTGCTCCCACTCGCCCTCTTTGAGGTAGCCCATGCCGAGCAGGAGCTCCTTCGTCTCCTTCGCATCCATGACGCCGCGCGCCTTGCACATGGAGAGCTCGAGGCCGAGCATCACCCACCGCGCAAGCGTCCTCCGAGCGATGGTCATACGCTCTTTGTCCTCCTTCGACGCGCCAGGCTTCGCGACGACGACGGTCGCAAGATTGAGAATCGTGTTGCGCCCGTTGCCGCAAAAGGAGACATAATTCTTGCGCCGAAGATACCATGCGTTTACCGCCTTGGAGACGAAACCTCCGACAGTAAAGGCGCCGAGCGTCCGAATGTACGAAGCAATGCGTCGGAATTCGGGCAGGTAGGTGACGGCCATATTGTGGAATTGGTCGCGCGGCACGCCGAGGCAAAACGCGAGGAGGATGCCGAGCATGACGAGCTTACTTGTTTGCGAAGACCGTCAGGTCCGCCACCGTGCCGCATGGCATCAACGCGAGGAAGCTCACGCGCTTTGGATCGTACGTGAAGAGCTTGCCGTTCTTCTCAACGCACCCGTCAGGCTTGCCAAGGAATTTCGCGAATGGCGAGGTGGCATGGCTCACTGTCAAGCCGACATATGGAGCCGCCTTAGACCTGATCGGCCTTGATAGCTGCCTGCTTCGTTCTCGCAGCGCGTTTGGTACCGCAGCATCAAATACAGTATCGGCAGCCGTCGCGCTAAGTCGCCTCACTTTGTCCTCCGCTTGTTGCAAAATCAACGCGCCAGACGACAGGCCCTTTGCCATGCCGTACATGGCGGCGTCGACGACCATCTTTCTTTACGCAGGGTGCGGAATGGACGCTATTGGTGCGACACAGCTTGAAGGCGATGCGCTCGGTCTGCCACCGTGGACCGACGGGGGAATGGAGTTTCGCTTGCACCCCGAGGTCTCTTGGGTCGTAGGTACAGTGGGTTGCGGGCATTAAGAAAACGTAGTATCAAGAAACCACGCCGAGCGATTTCCGCAAAAATCTAAGAAACCACGGCGCGCCGCAGACGCGGCCCCGAGAAAAGGCCAGAAACGAGTGTGTGATTCACTGTGTGTGAACGGGAGCCCCAGGTCAAAAATTTCTCTTCGCCTGCGGCGCGCGCACTTGTCACTTTCCAAGTCTGCGGTGTTCTGAGTGGAGTGGATGGAGGCGTGTGTGCGTCTTCCCCCGTCATCCAGAGAGCCGACTCAGCGGCAGACTCTGGCATCGCCCTCGCGGACCGGCAGCTTACAGCTTACCTCTTACTTACCTAAAAATCCTTCGGGCCCGCCGGCTCTGCTGGCTTGAGTGCCGGCCGGAGCTAAGAAACCACGGCGCGGGGTGGATGAGGGCTGTGGAAAGGCTTAGAAACGGCGGCGTGCCGCGAAATCCTGTTTTCTTAATGCCCGCAACCCACTGTAGGTAGGTGTGAAGTGATGACAGGGGCTCGCCTCAAAATATCGGGGGCTTCCCGCCAGGGCGGCAGTGCTGGGGCGCGCGCTCGCGCAGGTCCTCGTCTTACCTTACTCTGAGCGGCACGACGGCCTTCCAAGCGCGGGTTTTGGAGCACTTGGAGCACTTGGAGTGCGTTTTTTGGCGGTATTAGGAAGATGTGGCCACCTCGTGGGAAGGCAGCCCCCGTGGGAACGCCACCCCCCATTAGAGGGGCACGCCACCTGGCCCACCCCCGCTCTAATTGCGCACTGGAGCGGTGCACCGGAGCGTGCGCAGTTTCATATGAACTGCACCGACGACACTGCTTCTGCAGCGTGCACCTCAATCCTGTACCGTGTTTGTTATGACCCCCCCCAATGAAGCAACACACCAGTGAGGGTGGGTTTGTCGGGTGGGAGAGTACATGTCGTCTGGTGTGTGGCGTGTACCTAGTTTTGATCGCGGCAATAAAGCGGTCGAACGAATAACTCGCGATTTTTTTCGAGCTCAGACGGCAGCGAGCGACTTTTGCCTGTAGACGTAACTCGGCCTCTGGCCGCCGACAGCGCCTCTCCCACCCAACTCGGCTCCACTCTCGATCCACCCGCGCCCACCCCATCATCTGCTCTCAGGCTGATTGCGGCGTGTGTTGCGCAATGGCCAACCACCCAAACGCTGCCAAGAGCATGAATTGTATGCCTCTGCCCGGGCCCGGGGGGGGCTCTCTAAAAAGCCGGCGGGAGCCCGCCTCCCCTGCCCTTTGGGGAGGGTTTGGGCCCCCTTTTTGAGTTTCCCTCCATAACAAAAAAACCGTGGGTGGGGGGGGCTTTGCCCCCCCACCCCCCCCCCCCCCGGCAGAATGGTAAACTCGTGTCTACTCACCTCGTCGGCTCCATCGGCTGCCTCTCCTCGTGCGCCGGCTGCCTCTCCATCCAACCGCTTCTGCGTCCTTCTCTGCCCGGTGCTCGCGATGTCGCTCTGCCGAGAGGGTCATCGCCGGCGTAGGCGGAGCGGCGGGCCCTTCATTACAGAGACAACAAAGACATTTCACCCCTCGGGCTGTTGTTGCAGACAGAAAAACAAATTTGGCGCGCGTGCGCGCAAGGTCTGCTAGTCAACTAAAATATATATGTCTCTGCTCTCGGCCGCTCACGTCGCAACCGCGGGCGTCGCGGAGCTAGGCCTGCGGCGCACCAGCGCGCCTCCACGCGGCGCGGCGACCGCCCAGTTCGGCGACCGCTCCGACTTCCCGCCTTCGCTCCTCTCCCGCTTTGAGGAGTACGAGGCAGCCCTCGCGGCGCAGGCACGGGCCACTGCCATCGGCGCAGCGGTCGGAGGCCTGGTCGCCGGCGCCGGCGGCGCGGCCCTGCTGCCCACGCTTCTGCCAACGCTGCCGAACCTGCCGCCAATCGTGCGGTCGGCCACGCCGCCCGCGGCGCCGCTCCCGCCGCCGCTGCCGCCGCCGCTGCCGCCGCCGCCGCCGCTGTCGCCGCTGTCGCCGTTGTACAGGGTGGTCCGTGGCGTGCCGACGCCCCCGACGGGCGTCGAGAACTTCATCTTTGGCACCAGCGCCGTCGCCACGGCCAGCTCCCTCTTCCTCGGCCGCGAGCTGGCTGCCGCGCGGCGCAAAGTCGACGAGCTGCAGGCTCCGAGACCCTTCCGAGACACTTCCTCGAGACCCTTCCGAGACCCGTTCGAGAGGCGGCGGAGAGAGGGCTCATCTAGGTACCCCCCTTTCCACCCCCTCCCGCCACCCTTCCCACCACCCTTTCCCACCGCCTCCCACCCCTCCCACCCCCTCCACTCCACCCATCCCCACCCCTCTACCCCTCTCCCCCCCCTCACCCCACCCCTCACCCACCCACCCCACCCCTCACCCACCCACCCCACCCCTCACCCTCCCCTTCCCGCCGCCGGTGAGTCTCATCCGCGGCCTGGGAGGACGAGATGGGGATCTATCGCACGCGCTATGAGCGGTTCGGCCGCGTCAGGTATGATAAGCGCGTCGACTGCCCTCTGGAGGTCGACACCGGCCTGCTCTGGGTGGCGTGCAGCGAGGAACAGGCCCTCGGCTGCTTCCTCGATAATTCCGCCCTGGGGCCGGTCGGTATCGAGACCGAAGTGTCGCGGTACATCGGGCGATCCCGGCATGGACACCGCCTATAAGATCAGCGAGAT